ACAGCATCAGGAGCGAGTGGGGTACAGTAGCTTTTGGTGCCCCAATCTTGGAACCAAAGTGATTATGTGGCAACCCGTACAAATTGGTACAGGTCCAGGTGAATATTGGATCAATAGTTCAGTTGATAGTTCAGTATTGGACCAATAGTTTGGGTGAGAGGTCAGTACTGGGCCAGTAGGTCAGGTGATAGTTCCTTATGGAACCAGTCATTCATTGATCCTTCAGTACTGGCCAATAGTTCGGGTGATAGGTCAGTATTGAATCAGTTGGAGATAGATTGTTATGAGACCAATAGTTTGGGTGATAGCTCAGTGTTGGACTAATCATTCAGGTAAGAGGTCAGTATTGAGCCAGTAGATAGTAGGTCATGTCATAGTTCCTTATCCTTACAAATCATTCAGTTAACAGTTCAGTATTGGCCAGGAGGTAGATCAAGTGGAGATAACTTTTTATGAGACCAGCAGTTCAGGTGATAGTTCAGTGTTGGCCATTAGTTCAGATGATAGGACAATATTGAATCAATAGGTCAGGAGATAGTTCCTTTTATATTCCAATGGTTTTTATTATATTTAAACAATATAAAACAGAGGCAATAAAACTCGCCCACACAGGGGCTATCAATTGCACAGAAAAAAAAAAAAAGTGAAATAAAAGGAAAACAGTGCTCTAACGCCAACAGGGCAAAAGGTACGCCCACGCAGGGGCTATCAATGGCACATAAGGTACAAAACATTAATGCAACTGACTCTAACAACTAAAGGCAGCTGTCCAGTCACACCAAAAACAGAGAGAGAGAGAAAGGGGAAAAAAAAAAGGGGGGGGGGCAAAAAGCAGGAGTCCAAGAGCGCCAGTATTGAACGCCATTACATCCCCAGGCTAGCCGGGGGGAGTGTGGGAAAGGCATATTGCAACCACGGCTCCCATATTTTCAAAAATTTACGGTGGGAGTCGTTGTGGATACTCGACATCTGCTCGTTGAGCATCATAGTAGTCATACGATCCCACATCCCCTGCAGAGGGACAAACGGACTCTTCCAGGCCTGGGCAATTGTTCTAGTGGCCGATAAAAACAAATAAGAAGCCAACTTCTGCTGGTGAGCCAAGAGGCCCGGTATGGGGCAATGAAGCAAGACATACCAGGCATCCCGACGTATGGAGAGATGGAACAAGGTGAAAAGGAGGCCAAACACACGAGACCAAAAACAAAACAGTCTCGGGCATGACCACCAGATGTGCAAGACATCTCCACGATGGCCACAACCCCGAAGGAGATAGTTCCTTTTGAGACCAATAGTTCACATGATAGTTCAGTGTTTGGCCAACAATATAGTTGATAGTTCAGTATTGGCCATTAGTTCAGATGGTAGTTTACCTCTTGAGGTTAAAAGTATGGCTTTGTACAGGACTTAGGAGGCTAAAGTACATATTATGTGAGAGGTGTTAAGCATAAGAAAAGAGGTGAGGTGCTAGAATTAGCACATGATCCCCCTGTGTTGGTGACTGTCAGTATAACATTTTCGTATAATCAAAGTCCCAGACATCCTACCTGCTAGCCTTTGTAGTCCTAATGGGTGGTCCTCATTGTTGTTGTCCTTGAACAACTTGTGCATTGGTGTTATTAGGATAATGTGCTGGGTGGTTACAGTTCACCAGCTCAGACTCTGCACACTGAGAGTTAAAGTGTTAGAAAAGGAGGACAGACATTTTCCTTACTCTTCTAGTCATGGGTTCTAGTAGTACTGACACAAAGCTGACAATCTTCCTCTTTCAGGCTCTTCCTCTACAGCCCTGGCATACCTTGCTTGGCTCTGATGCCTGATTATTAGTGTGATACTAAAACTAGATAAAGAAAAAACAGGTGGCGCACACACCTAGTGCATTATCCAAGGTTTATTGAAAGGAGTGAAAGATAAAAACATACTCACAGATGAAGCTTATATCTAAAAATCATTGCAAAATTACGATTGCCACAACGGCAAGCAATGTGTTCCCACTGTCAGTGCGGTCAAATGGCTGACGCGTTTCGGGATGAATCCCTTTCCTCAGAGCTAATGACCAGCCTCTGATGCGGATGTGTAATGCATGGATAATGGGAGCCTTGCTGGTGATGCCTGAGGAAAGGGATTCATCCCCGAAACGCGTCAGCCATTTGACCGCACTGACAGTGGGAACACCTTGCTTGCCGTTGTGGCCATCGTCATTTTGCAATGCTTTTTAGATATAAGCTTCGTCTGTGAGTATGTTTTTATCTTTCACTCCTTTCAATAAACCTTGGATAATGCACTAGGTGTGTGCGCCACCTGTTTTTTCTTTATCTAGTGGCTGATCTCCCCGTCTGAGGAGGGCTGCACCCCTGAAGCCTTTCCTTTGGTTGTCACTGTCCTGGTTCCCTTGGCTTCCCCTTTGGCTGTGCATATCCTGAGGTGCTGGAGAGTACATATGATACTAAAACTAGCTATACATCTTACATTTCTTTCTCACTCAGCCCCATTAGCTGAGCAAGACTCAAGTACCCCATCTAGGCTAAATAGCATGGATGGAGGTATGGTATTCTGACATCTGCAGCTGTCTGAATGCCCAAGCAGTGACCGCATCCAACAGTTTTACAGACAGCTCCATTGATTTTTCATTCAAATTTTGTTGAACTGGTTGGTACCAACTGGGTCAATTCATTTGAATGGGCTGCCTAATGAACTATAAGGGACCAAAGGTCATGTATTCACCATTTTTGGCATTACCAAGCATTTGACTGCAACATAAGTGTGCTTAGAAGGGCTGTTAGGATGCCACTCAGGATGACTGGCAGTGCATTACACCAATGCACCACAATGATATGAAGGGGCCATTATACAAGCTCCTGCTCTCTCAGGTGTGTTGGATAGTGTGTGTGTCACCCTCTACATGCTGAGGTTCCTCCTGCCACCAACTACAATACAGAACACAGTATTGGTAGATTATAGGGTGGGAGAATTATTTGAATACATCATGTATTCTCTGAATCACTAGTACTGTACATAAGATAGATACAGATTATTATTATTATTATTATTCAGGATTTCTATAGCGCCAACAGTTTGCTCAACGCTACAATATAATGGGAGACAATACAGCAACAATACAGTTCAATACAAGAGGGCAGGAAGGCCCTGCTCCTTGGAGCTTACAATCTAAGAGGATAGATAGATAGATAGATAGATAGATAGATAGATAGATAGATAGATAGATAAACAGATGGACAGATAAGTAAGTAGATACTGTAGATAGATAGCCATATAGATATTGATTGGATAGATAGACAGAAGAAAGAAAGAAAGAAGTAGCAACGAAAATAATTTTATGGTTGGGGGTCACCACAACATGAGGAACTGTATTAAGGGGTCGCGGCGTTAGAAAGGTTGAGAACCACTGCTGTAGATAGATAGCCATATAGATATTGATAAGAAAGAAAGAAAGAAAGAAAGAAAGAAAGATAGATAGATAGATAGATAGATAGATAGATAGATAGATAGATAGATAGATAGATAATAGATGGACAGATAAGTAAGTAGATACTGTAGATCAGCAGTTCTCAACCTGGGGGTCGCGACCCCTTTTGGGGTCGAACGACCATTTCCCAGGGGTCGCCTAAGACCATCGGAAAACACATATTTCCGATGGTCTTAGGAACCAAGACACCGCTGCTCTGTCTCGCGATCTGTGGGCGGGATGATATGCTGCCCCTGTAACCTGGCCACACCTCCGGGATCACTCAACAGCTCCGCCTCCTCGCCGCTGATTGGCCACCGGAACTGTAGCTCAGGAGAGGCACACAGGCGGCCAATCACCGGCGAGGAGGTGGAGCTTGGAGAGGAGGAGCCGAGCGGCAGAGCGCGCAGATCGAAGAAGATCGAGGGAGCTGCAGGACCGAGTGAAGAGGAGAGAGGCCAGAGAAGGAAGACAGCTGACAGGTAAGTGCAAATTTTGCTTCTGCAGGCTGTAGATGGGAGAGGGAGAGAGCGAGCCCAGGCTGGAGCAGGGGTCAGCAAGGTAAGTATCATTGGTGTCAGTGGGAGGAATAGTGCCCCATCATTTGTGTCACTAATACCAACGATGGGGCACTATTCCTCCCCCCACTGACACCAACGATGGGGCACTATTCCTCCCCCCACTGACACCAACGATGGGGCACTATTCCTCCCCCCACTGACACCAACGATGGGGCACTATTCCTCCCCCCACTGACACCAACGATGGGGCACTATTCCTCCCCCCACTGACACCAACGATGGGGCACTATTCCTCCCCCCACTGACACCAACGATGGGGCACTATTCCTCCCCCCACTGACACCAACGATGGGGCACTATTCCTCCCCCCACTGACACCAACGATGGGGCACTATTCCTCCCCCCACTGACACCAACGATGGGGCACTATTCCTCCCCCCACTGACACCAACGATGGGGCACTATTCCTCCCCCCACTGACACCAACGATGGGGCACTATTCCTCCCCCCACTGACACCAACGATGGGGCACTATTCCTCCCCCCACTGACACCAACGATGGGGCACTATTCCTCCCCCCACTGACACCAATGATGGGGCACTATTCCTCCCCCCACTGACACCAACGATGGGGCACTATTCCTCCCCCCACTGACACCAACGATGGGGCACTATTCCTCCCCCCACTGACACCAACGATGGGGCACTATTCCTCCCCCCACTGACACCAACGATGGGGCACTATTCCTCCCCCCACTGACACCAACGATGGGGCACTATTCCTCCCCCCACTGACACCAATGATAGGCACTATTCCTCCCCCACTGACACCAACGATGGGGCACTATTCCTCCCCCCACTGACACCAATGATGGGGCACTATTCCTCCCCCCACTGACACCAATGATGGGGCACTATTCCTCCCCACTGACACCAATGATGGGGCACTATTCCTCCCCCACTGACACCAATGATGGGGCACTATTCCTCCCACTGATACCAATGATGGGGCACTATTCCTCCCACTGACACCAATGATGGGGCACTATTCCTCCCACTGACACCAATGATGGGGGCACTATTCCTCCCACTGACACCAATGATGGGGCACTATTCCTCCCACTGACACCAATGATGGGGCACTATTCCTCCCACTGACCCAATGATGGGGCACTATTCCTCCCACTGACACCAATGATGGGGCACTATTCCTCCCACTGACACCAATGATGGGACACTATTCCTCCCACTGACACCAATGATGGGGCACACTATTCCTCCCACTGACACCAATGATGGGGCACTATTCCTCCCACTGACACCAATGATGGGATGCTATTCCTCCCACTTACACCAATGATGGGGCACTATTCCTCCCACTGACACCAATGATGGGATGCATTCTATTTACCTCCCATTGACACCAATGATGGGGCATTGACACCAACGATATATTCCTCCCATTGACACACAACGATGGGGCACTATTCCTCCCACTGATACCAATGATGGGGCACTATTCCTCCCACTGATACCAATGATGGGGCACTATTCCTCCCACTGATACCAATGATGGGGCACTATTCCTCCCAATGCAAAATTACAGTTCTGAAGTAGCAACGAAAATAATTTTATGGTTGGGGGTCACCACAACATGAGGAACTGTATTAAGGGGTCGCGGCGTTAGAAAGGTTGAGAACCACTGCTGTAGATAGATAGCCATATAGATATTGATAAGAAAGAAAGAAAGAAAGAAAGAAAGAAAGAAAGAAAGAAAGAAAGAAAGAAAGAAAGAAAGAAAGAAAGAAAGAAAGAAAAAGAAAGATAATAGATGGACAGATACTGTAGATAGCTAGACATTGATTAGATAGATAGATAGATAGATAGATAGATAGATAGATAGATAGATAGATAGATAGATAGATAGATAGAAACCTAAACCTTAGCATAATAGCTATACATTTCGGACTGTCACCCTCCTGCTTGCCCCAGCTGCAGGCAATATGAGGCAAGGCAGTCCTAATCATTCTCATACTGTCCCTAATACAGAGGAGGGGGCCTTTCAGCAGCCAGATCTCTACCCATCAGCTAAAATCAATGTAAGACAACTAGCGCTGGGACTTCACAGCCCGGTATATAGAGAAAAATGCCGGCACAGGGGCACAAACTAAGGAAAGAGAGAACATTCCTCAGAAATAGAAGGATAAATCCCAACTCATAAAATTTGACAAAGTGCCAGGAGATTGTACAAAGAGAGAACTTCCTAAATGTCATTGTAAAGCTGAAGACACCTTGTCATATGTCACTGTCATGGGTTGTCCTGCTGGATGACAGTGTTTGTGTATTGCTATGACAATGGGCAGACACAAGGAGAAATGTGGATTGCAGTTCAGGAAACAATGAATAATGGCCTTGTATGCATGATTATACAGGATCATCTGCTCTATATGTAGACTAAAGCAGCCCATAGATTCGTCATTTTTCAGTTCCCTCTCCACACATTGGAGGTGGGTGGTGGAATCCTCCCTGCTGAGCCTTTGTATTCTTACAATGGAGGGACATCCCTGATGTCAGAATACAGTGATCAGTGTTGCCGGCTATAGCTGGTGGCGCTGATCATGCGGGTAAATTTGAACAGGCTGGTTGTACAGAGGTCGATGTGGTTAATTGACTTCTGTACAACCAACTTGCCCATACATGGATTGAAGATTGGTCGGTTCCTGCTGAACGTACCAGAGTTTGATCCGTGGATGGCGGGCTTAAGGCTGCATTTAGATGCACAGCAGACATTGCTGCTCCTCTGACAGGCAGTGAGGAGGTGATATGTCATTTCTTCATCATCTGTTTTACCCCTGTAAATGCTGCACCACCACGCTGCAACCGCATGCATTGACTTGAATGGCTTGTAATCAGTGGCAGTACTGCCTGCTGAGCAGGACACGGAAGCAAACCATTGCAACTGCGGCAACTTAAGGGACTGGGTGATAAAAACTATCTCTAAATCTGACCATTGGCATTACATAAAAAATGTTTTAGATTGCAAGCTCTCATGAGCAAGCCTTCTGCTCCTGACCCGCTTGTATTAAATTGTATTGGAACTGTACTGTCTCCCTTTATTCTGTAAAGCACTTTTGGGTATAGCGCAACCTTTCTCAACCAAGGTTCCATGAAACCATGGGGTTCCTTCTGAGGGTGCTACGGGTTCCTTAAGAAAAGAGCAGCTCTGCCCCCCAAATGAGTAACTACCGCCACTAATGATCTATAAGGGGGGATTCTTCCTGCTGACCTTAATTGTAAGGAGCATCCTTCCCACTGACCATCACATAAATGTATCATGAGCTATAGATATAGTAATTATTAGCAGGGGTTCCCTTTGGCCAGAAAGATATTTCAAGGGTCCCCCATTCTAAAAAGATTGAGAAAGGCTGGTATAGAGCATGAATGGCAGGTGTATTTGCTTGCCCAGGATATACAGTTACTGAGTACAGCTGACCATTATGGTCATGCTGCTACTTTCATAAACCCACAAATGTGTAAAGCTGTACCCCCCTAGATGCACACTGTCAGAACCCAGGGTTGTACCCCATATGCATGTAGTCACATAAACCTGCGTACAGCTATACATTGCTATGAGTGGCTAAACACAGCGGCTGTATATCCAAGACACCCACAATTTATGTTATATACCCAAAAGCATCCATGTGCATATGGTCTAAGGCAGGGGTCTTCAAACTGTGGCCCGGGGGCTGGATGTGGCCTTCTGCTTGCCTTTACCTGACCCTTGGGGCACTATTCATTCTACTGATACAAGGCAGTATTCCTTCCTCTGACACCAAAGACGGGTTGCAATTCCTCTCACTGACACCAGAGATGGGAAATTATTCCTTCCACTGGCACGAACAATGGTGCATCATTCCTCCCACCAATACCAATGATGGGACACCATTCCACCCACTGACACCAATGATGGGGCACCACTCCTCCCACTGACACCAATGATGGGGCACCATTCCTCCCATTGACACCAATAATGGGGCACCATTCCTCCCACTGACACCAATAATGGGGCACCATTCCTCCCATTGACACCAATGATAGGGCACTATTCCTCCCACTAATACTAATGATGGGACACTTCCTCCCACTGACACCAACAGTGGGGCATCATTCCTCCCACCAATACCAATGATGGAGCACTATTCCTTCAGCTAATACCAATGATGGGACACCATTCCACCCACTGACACCAATGATGGGGCACCATTCCTCCCATTGACACCAATAATGGGGCACCATTCCTCCCATTGACACCAATAATGGGGCACCATTCCTCCCATTAACACCAATGATGGGGCAATATTCCTCCCACTAATACTAATGATGGGACACTATTCCTCCCACTGACACCAACAGTGGGGCATCATTCCTCCCACTAATACCAATGATGGAGCACTATTCCTTCAGCTAATACCAATGATGTGGCACCATTAATCCTACTGAACAACACGCCTATGGCATTGTATACTCCTAGGTAAGAGTCACAGCGTTTTTTTTTAAGATAATACCAAGGCATTTTTTGGGGGCACTATCCACAGTCTGGCCCCCCTGACGTTTGAGGGGCACTAAACTGGCCCTTTGTTTTAAAAGTTTGGAGACCCTAGGTCTAAGGTCTAGTAAGCTGCATGTTATTATTTTTTTTTTTTACAAAGTGTCTGATTTTATTAAATTTTTATTGAAAAACTGAATAATAGAAGCATGGAACATACAGACTGTTCACTGTGATTACAACATTTGCAGTAGAAAAAGGATTCCATACTGTACCTCCTCCCCCTTCCTTTACATTGTCATTTCCATGAGCAGGACTTTCCTATTCCTTCTGTATTGAACTGTATTGTAATTGTATTGTCCCCCTTTATATAATAAAGTGCTGCGCAAACTGCTGGAGCTATAGAAATCCTGTTTATAATATTTATAGAAATATATTCCAACTGCCATGTTCAAATGGGTCATATGTAATTGTTTTAAATGCCTTGGTAAAAGAATAAAAATTATTGGAAAATACATCCATTTCCATTTTTAATTATGGGTCAGATTTAGTCTATTTATTCATATATGTAGGTATGTATTTATTTTTATTTTTTAATAAATTAATTTGTTTGTTAATTTATTTGTTTATTTTGCATGCGATTGCCATTTTTATGCAGAAAACATAAAAGATCATTTTTTTCAGATTTCCTAACTAGTCTATTATGGTAATAACCCCCCTCTCCACCCCCCTTCCCCACTGCTGTGCTTTGTAACAACCTCATCAAAGTCATATTAGCCAGTACCACATGTTTGCAATGAGATCTGTGTGCCAGCATGTTTATTTACCTCTTAGGGGGGGGGGGTAGGAAATATTTCCAGTGGCCCAATTCAATAATCAGTTGTTTTTACCTCCAGCCATCAGCAGAAAGGGGTTGGTAGTTTTATGGGGATGATGCTGTGACACTTTCACTTCTTTACTGAGACTTACAGTGCTTATTGCAATCTCAGCTGGAAGCACACTACAACTCTTGTTCCAGCAAGCTTGCAGTGTTCACAGCTAGCATTTCTGCAATACAGTGGAGTCTCAGAAGCAATTTTGTAAGAGTAAAAAAAAAAAAAAAAAAAAAAAAAAAAAACTTGCCATGATTTTCTCTATACTGTATAGTTATTATTTTCTCAACAGCGCCATCTACCGACCGTTCCTCAAACTGCAGCCTGTGTCGGTGACATTTAACTCTAAGCATCTCTGTACTCTGGAGGGGAGCTAGTCTGATATTAAAAACTTTGCCACTGGACTGGGGCAAGGGGGCACTTTTTTTATTTTAAATTTGTGATGCTGGGTAACAAACTTTCCCTCCATAACCCCCAAATAAAAAAAAAAAAATAAATAAATAAAAAAAAAGGTATATATTAACATCCCTGTCTTTTTAACCCTTCCATGGCTGTTGAATTAACGATTCTGATGGCTTTAGGAAAAGGCAAGCTGTCCGTGAGCATCAGTTAAATGGGATAGCATGCTGGATGGTCAAACTGCCTAAACTTTTGCAAAAGTTTTAAATAAAAAAAAATGGCATCAGTTCTACAAAGAACTTCAACAGCAAGTCCCCTTCTAGCAAAATCTCTATGTACGATATTAAAAAAAATCAGGTGGTGACACCCTATGTAGGCTCATGCAATGGTTGCAATTATGTTAATTGCATGCTTTTTTTTCTTTAAACTCACCCCTGCCAAGAGAAAAAAAAAAAAAAAGTGAATGAGTCTTTTTTTTTTTTTTTTTTGGTGAAGTTCCCTCCTCCCTGAGTCCCTCCCCCTAATAAAGACAGGATCCCCAGCTCTATTTGCACTGGTTTAAAGACCCCTGTAACTTGGAGGAAGAAAGGCAACAGCATAAAAAAAAGAGGAAATGTCAAAGGAGAAGGTCTGGAAAAAATTAATCGCTGATGGTTTGGAGAAGTTCTCTTAAAGAGGGCTCCACACTGGTGTGTCAGCCTCACACTACAGACTGTACACTGATGCTGCACATCTGGACTGCCCACTGCTCAATGCCTTGCACTGTATGTACATTACCAGCCCTGGGCAGATAGGCAACATAAGCTTTTTTTTTTTTTAGTTTTTATATATTTTTAGTCTAGATAGATTTTTTTAAAACTTGGAATACAAGTGGATTTTTAAATTCTTTTAATTTTAATTTTAATTTTTTTTTTTAACACAACCACTTACTTGCTCCAAGTGGTTTTTTCACTTTTTTTATGGTTGCTGTAACATTGCTGAGCATACTTCATCTATTATATTACCTCAGTGTTGGAAACTGTTTGTTCAAGAAGACCACACAAAGCCTGTGACCACCGGAACCCTGGGAGACTCAAGGTACAGTGATGCTTGAATGCAGAGCAAACTTTCTACTGCTGCTTGGCTTTACACGTGGTGCAAAAGTTTCTGCAGTGCTTATGGGCAGGCTGTTGGGCTGGTGGGACCTGTAGTTCTACAGCAGCTGAAGAGTGGTGTTGGTACTGCTTTTGATCCTAGGGGTAGGCTGTGGGGCTGACAGGGTAACCTACTGGGACCTGTAGTTCTACAGCAGTTCTAGAGGTGTGATGAGTCTGGTTCTGCTCCCATCAGTGAACGTAGGGGGCAGGCTGTGGGACTAGTATGGTAACCTACTAGGACTTGTAGTTCTACAGCAGCTCTAGAGGGGTGATGGGTCTACTTCTGCTCCCATAAGTGAACTTTGGGACAGGCTGTGGGGCTGGCAGAGTGACCTACTGGGACCTGTAGTTGTACAGAAGCTCTAGAGGTGTGATAAGTCTGGTTCTGCTCCCATCAGTGAACTTAGGGGGCAGGCTGTGGGACTTATATGGTAACCTACTAGGACTAGTAGTTCTACAGCAGCTCTAGAGGGGTGATGGGTCTACTTCTGCTCCCATCAGTGAACCTTGGGACAGGCTGTGAGGCTGGCAGAGTGACCTACTGGGACCTGTAGTTCTACAGAAGCTCTAGAGGTTTGATAAGTCTGGTTCTGCTCCCGTAAGTTTACCTAGGGGGCAGGCTGTAGGACTAGTATTGTAACCTGCTAGGACTTGTAGTTCTACAGCAGCTCTAGAGGGGTGATGGGTCTAATTTTGCTTCCATCACTGAACCTTGGGACAGGCTGTGAGGCTGTCAGGGTGACCTACTGGGACCTGTAGTTCTACAGCAGCTATAGAGGGGTGATGGGTCTGGTTCTGCTCCCATCAGTGATCCTAGGGAGCAGGTTGTGGGACTGGTAGGGTGACCTTCTGGAACTTGTGGTTCCACAGCAGATACATGGGCATAATATGCCTGCTTCTCCTAAAAGTGGTTTTGGTTCATAGAATGTTTTTTTTTTTTTTTTGCAATAAGGGTAGACTGTAGAGATGGTAGGGTGGCCTGCTGGGATTTTTAGTTATTTGGCTGGTATAGAAGGGGTGATAAGTTTGATTCTGCTTTAATCAGTGATCTTATGGGTATTCTGTGGGACTGGTAGGATGGTCTGCTGGAAATTGTGGTTCCACAGCAGCTAAATGGGTATAATGTGCTTTCTTCTGCTAAAAGTGATTTTGAATCATAGACTTTTTTTTTGCAAAAAAGGATAGACTGTGGAGATGGTAGGGTGGCCTACTGAGACTTTTAGTTTTACAGTAGCTTTAGGGCGGGGTGATGGTTCTAATTTTGCTCCCATGAGTGATCCTAGGGGCAGAATGTGGGGCTTGTATTGTGACCTACTGGCACTTGTAGTTCTACAGCAGCTATAGATGGCTGATGGGACATCTTTTGCTCCCATCAATGGACAGGCTGTGGGAGTAGTAGTGTGTGACCTGCTGAGATTTGTAGTTCTACAGCAGCAACAGAGGGGTGATGGGTCGGATTCTACTCCCATCAGTGGTGCTTGGAGCAGGCTGTGGGACTGGTTGGGTGCCCTGCTGGAACTTCTGGTTGCACAGCAGTTAAGTTGGCACAATATGCCTGCTTCTCCTAGAAGTGGTCCTAATTCATAGAATTTTTTTTTTTTTTTTGCAAAATGCTACTTTTTCAATGTAGTAGTTCACATTCATCTGGTCTTGTTCTTTAATGTTTAACTGGATAGTGCAATCCAGCTTTTTTAAGTAGACTTAGATAAATGAAAACCTTCACAATCAACTGTAGATGTAGAAATATATATAAATATTTACACATATCCCTTACAATAAAAATAAAAAAAAGTGCCATTTACATGTAATAGTTAAATGTATTATATATATTTATAAAACAGATGTGTCAGTAACACGTAATAGTAACATTTATTATATATATTTTTAAACGTATGTGCCATTTACACGTAATAGTGGCATTTATTATATATATTTATAAACAGATGTGCCATTTACATGTAATAGTGACATTTAATATATATATTTATAAACATATGTGCCATTTACACATACCAATGACATTTATTATATAAATTTATAAACATATGTGCCATTTACACGTAATAGTAGCATTCATTATATATATATTTATAAACAGATGTGTCATTTACATGTAA